ATATATATATATATATATATATATATATATATATATATATATATGAGAGAGCACGTCTCGTGTAGGTGCGCACTAGTAAGGAAGGCCTGCATGTTCTTTCAAAAAAATACACCAACGTTACATCAACCTGTCGCTTTTAACTCCTTGAACATCTAAGAAATAAAGAGATTATGGCTAGCACCAGTCACTTCAATGTCTACAACATTAATATTTCGAGCTTTCTCCTTCTTGTTTCTCTGGTCATTGTCTCATTTTCACTCACCATCTGCTTTGCTTCGGAGTCTGAAGTTGGTATGTTCTTTATCTCTTCTCCCCTCTCTCTAATTACTAGTTGACAGATTTAAGCTGTTGTGTTCTTTTTCACTGTTTCCACTGCATGCATTCTGTTATCAATATTCTACCTACTCGCTAGCAGTGATTGATTTATCGCAGAAATCCCAGATGAAATATCACATTGTTGTGTTTTGAAGGATTAATTTATTGGTATCCTTCTGTTTGAAGAACAGGGAGGAGAAAAAAATCAATCTTGAGATTCAAATTTGTTTTTGAAGGTTTTTTCTTTAATTAATGAAGAAGATTTTGTGCTCTTAACCTCTGCATTTTATTTTTAAAAATCCTCGTGCATGTAGTTTAGAACCAGGAGATTATTTAAAATGTTGGACACAAAGGTCCAAGGGTCAGTTCGGTATATTGTTTTAATTATTGAAACTGTATTTTATTTTAATTATTATAGTTTTAAAATTATTTGAGTAATTAATATATATATATATATATATCATAATTTTGCATGTATCTCATTTAAGATTTTTTAAAAAAATTGGTTATAAAAAAAATTAATTTACATATTTTTTTAAACCTATTTTTAAATTATAACTGCGAAAACTAAGATGATGACAAGCACTCGCTAGCTAAGTTTGCGATGTTTGATGAAGAATTATTTTATTTTTTTAGAAACTATTATGGCATGTTTGAAAAGTTATTTCACCAATCTTCGTTCTATTATTTGATTTGAAAGACGTACCCAGTTAAATCAATTCGTGATTTTCTTTTGTGAAAGTGATTTATTTTTCATTTTCTTATGTTCTTTCACTCAACTTTTAGTCCTAGGTAGAGCCAAATCTGTGCTTTATGTCTCCAAAAAGGAATTTAGAACCTCCCTTTGGCTTTAATTTTTTGGAGGCTTGTCTTTAAGACATGTTGGTCCTTAGTGGAGTGATCCACTTCATATCATGAATAATTATATATCTTCATAAATATGATTTCTTAAACAGTCCAGTCAATTTAATTCTGTTCTTTCATCAACAGAGAAAGAAAGTGAATTCGCATATGTAGAAGGAACTGGAAAGGGGCCAAAGAACTGGGGAAAGATTAACCCACATTGGGAAACTTGTGGTAAAGGACAAATGCAGTCTCCTATCGATCTCCTTGACGGGAGGGCAGTGCAAGTTTTTCCCAACTTAGGAAAGCTGCGTAGGGATTACCAAGCAGCTCCTGCAGCCGTGAAGAATAGGGGGCATGACATTACAGTAAGCTACTTCTTTTCCCTTCAATAATTCATGGATTTACTGAAGAAGCAATTCATTCTAAAAACAAGATTCGTTTTAATCCACCTCTGCCATTGTAGCATGCATAAGATCGTTTACCCTATATAGATTTTGATCATAATTTCGTCGTTGAATTGTTGGTAATTGACCAGTATTCAGGCTACGAAAGTATGCATCACAAACGCTTGTTATCTGTTACTTGTCGACGATGACTCTGGAAGAAAAAAGGTGTGACAGATTTATAACTCCATTTGAATTTCTTGCTAGGTGATTTGGAAAGGAGATGCAGGAAAAATCACGATTAATAATACTTCTTACCAGCTGAAGCAATGCCATTGGCATTCACCCTCAGAGCACACATTCAATGGTTCAAGGTTTATTTGTTTGCCTTTTTTATTATTGAGATTTTAAAAGTTTTATTTGATCTAACGTTAATGATCCGATCTCTTCCACCTACTCCACTTAAAACTCTATAGTTTTCTCCCATAAAGATCTAATGTCTATTCAAATTCTTCTCATTTTTTAAAAGGTATGACCTGGAGCTTCACCTAGTTCACTATAGCTCTCAGGGAGGGGTAGCTGTTTCTGCAATTGTTTACAAATATGGTCGGCCTGATCGCTTTCTTTCAAGGGTATTGTGATGCCTTTCAATTGCTTACAAATATGGTCGACCTGGAACTTCTCGTATAGTTCGATTCTAATTTGTAAATCTGAAGCTCTTTTTTTGACCGCTACTATTTCCCCCTTTTGGCAGTTGTTCCACCATATAACTCGCCTTGACCCCGAAGAAGAGATAGATGCGGGGATTGTCAACCCAGGAGATATCAAATTTGGGAGCAGAAAGTATTACAGATATATCGGTTCCCTTACAAGTCCTCCTTGCACCGAAGGTGTTATTTGGACAATAGTGAAGAAGGTGCTTTTACCAAAACATTCACATTCCATTTCATCTTTAATATATCTTCTTCACCGGCATGATGTATATGATCATTCTGATTTATTCTTCTATAAACAGGTCAGGACAGTCTCAAGGGAGCAAGTCAAAGCATTAAGGGATGCTGTTCATGATGTAAGTACTTTTAGTTCAGTTTAAGGATGCATTTCCAGTTAATGTCTAATTTTTTATTTGGAAATGTGCAAGTGAATCCTCTGAGAGCATTTTCAGAGAAAACAACAATGGTGCTTTTGGCACTCTCGTGCTCGTCTGTGTAGAAGACCAAAGCAGTTTTACTGATTTAACATCTGTTGGGTTCTTTTGTTTAAGGGATTTGAGGCAAATGCAAGACCAACTCAGTCATCGGATGGAAGAGCAGTTTTTGAGTACACTCCGAGAGCGGTTGAGGCCTCTGCCTAGCTAGTAATACAAACTGAAGAGTAAAGAACTCCAGAGATCTTCATCACGCGGACTTCTGTATATCATTTATTCAGCTGGTTTATTGCCATTATACTAAGATTCCATGCCGAATGTCTCTATATGATACCACAAAAATGGAGATTAGGAAAAAGGGAAGGAGTGTTCCTTTGCCACTAGCGTGTTCTCATTAGCCGTTGAGCTTTCTCTAAACCTCCATCCTTGTTGAGTACATATCTATCTATGATAAATTCAATAAAATTATAACGTATTATATAGCTTCTTTTAAGTAATTAATCAATTTTTGTGTCCAAGCTAGACAGGCTTAGATGAGTTGCAACTACATATTTCATTTTGCAAGCCAGCAATTTTGAAACAAAGCGCGTTTGCTTGTTTCATCAAGTGTAATTCATATATAAGAAAAATGTTATGTGCTCTATCAGGCTAGCTGTGATGAAGAAACTCAAGCTGGGAGAATCAGTAGAGGCACCCGCGGGTAAATGCTTAAAGTTAATGCGTATTGATGATTGAGACATGGCAAAGAAAATGGCTTCAACTGCTGGCTGCGCTAAGGCAGAGACACCTTAATTACATGTTGTGTAGAGAGCAGTTAGGGCACAAAAATAGAGCAAATGAATGCTCAGATCTGTAAAGTAAGAGAGACAGCAACTTTTCGGAGCTCAAAGTCTCTAGGCTTGGACCTTATGAAATTAGAGTTTTTGATATATTCTGAAAAGTTAGTAATTTATAAAAATTGTTCTAAAAATAATATACAATTGTTTTTATAGTTGGAAACTCACCTAACCTATATAGAAAAAAATGATTTTTTCAGCTTACTTTAAGGATTTTCCTAACCCCAGTTGCTGCTAGAAAGCTGACCTCATGGAGAAGGAACCTCCTCATCAAATTTCAACTCCATCCACAGTTTGTTTAAATACAAAACTATATAAAACCAGATTCACCAACTTATTTTAACAAATATTGCTATGTGAAGAGGAAAAACTCCATTAATCTTTAGTTAAAAGCTCAACTTCACAGTAAGACAGCATCTGCATTCCACGAAAAAGAACGAAGAAAACACCAAATTAGAGATGCTCAGCAGAAGTCAAACACAGACATTCTCAAACTAAACCAACAAAAAAGAAATCATTTATCAAAGAGGGTCTGTGATGATCAGGCCGTCGCCAAATCCAAGACAAAGGGAGATTGAACACAAGACCAAGAAAAACATTCTCGATTAATATTGTCGTATTCGATGGCCTTGCTCTTCCCTCCAGTTTTATCAAACTTAGATACCAGCATATCCAAAACAACTGGTGAGACAGCAAGCATTGAACTCGTAAGTGCCTCTCTCAGCCCATTAGAATCAATTTTGCTACTCGTGTCCTTATATATATATATATAGAACCCAATTAATATGAGTTAGTCGTAAGTTTGATTAGTTAATTTGCAAGTTTGATTGGTTAGTTTGCAATATCAAAGTTATTTTTTCTTTTTTATGCATTTTTTCCCTTTAATTTAAAAAACAAAATACAATTCCATCATTTTGATGATTTATTTTTTTATTATTTAACTCAAAATAAAAAAATTAGTATTTATTATCAATAACCTACGTTTTCTATCTTGATATCAAATGTCTATCATGGTTTTTTTTTCTTTTAAAAATATATTTCATCCAAAAGAATTCTCATACACTTTATTTTTGTGTAATTAAATAAAAAAATCACTTTTAAGATAAAAAATTTATTAAATTCGATGACAGTACATAACTTACACGGTTTGGTTAATTGACTCAAGTTTACTTGCTTTTTTTAATTGAGTACTATTTTTATATCAATTTGATCCTTTAACATTAAATTAATTAAAAATTGAGTTTTTCTGTTATTATTTTCAAAATTATCTTTATTGGTTTCAACTCTGGTTAACTTGAATTGACATATACAATGTGTTTCCATTTCATTATTAAATAAAAATATTAGTCTATAATCAGGTCACGCAAGGAGTTAGGTTGAAAATTTTTAAAGTTCTCATGTTGGATCAGGTTTAATGACAATGTTAAATAAATTTTTTTATTCCATCTTTCAATTTTTTTTCCTTTCATTGAATTCTATTTGGCTTTTTTTTTCATCGATTTTATCTTTTAATATTTGATTAATTTTAAGTATTCATAATTTATTTTGATTTATGTACGACGAGGTTGTTATAATCTTAAATAAACAACCCAACATTTGATTATTCAATTTCATGAGCATTTATTTTTTGTTATCATATTATAAAAAAAAATAGTTTAAGAAAAATTATTAAACCTAATAAAATTTATAATTTGAGCCGCATGTTTACTTGATTAAGACATAAAATTTATAATTTGAGCCGCATGTTTAATTATGTTTCTATATATTAAACAAAACTATTATCTTAATTTTTTTAAGTTAAATCATATTTTTTAGTGGTTGTTCATACTTTTTTAAAATATTTTAAATTAACTAAGTAAGTAACTCTCATATAATTTAATTTTAAACACAAATTAAATAAAATTAAGCTATTTTTTAAAATTAATATGTTATGTTGGCTTTAATAACAATACTAAATTATTCCTTGCATCCTATATTTTCTTTTCAGATTCAATAAAATTTTAATGCAGAGTGTCATCTAAATTAAAATAATCCCAAAATAAAATCCCATAGAAATAACCACGTGATGTAGTTGCATGAAAAAGATTAATTGGTGATAAATTTGAAGTCATGGGAATTAAAAGTGCTATTATTAAAATACCTTTCTACTCAAAATACAAATTATATTTATTTTCTCAATATTATGGTATCCATTCGTCTCAGGTTAAGGATTTTTGTTAAGTTGTGTTGATAAGACACATGAACATATCAAAGCAAAGAAGCGGGTTCAAAGCCTTCGATATTCTCGCCGGAAACACCCTCAATTTTCCGTTACCTTATCGGAGCTGCAACGACGCTCAACAAATTCATGAATGATAAAGAGGGTGGGATAGTGAAAATTGTTGGTAATTAGCAGCTTGCCATCATAGGAGTGAAAAGAAAATAACAAGACATCACAGCTCAAAGATTAATAAGAAGAGGGTACATATATTAGAGACATCAATCTGCAAACCAGTATCCACTAGACCCTTGAAACAGTCTAGTTTTAACGGCTAAAAACAGATACACAAACTTATTTTTACCAAGTGAAGGGGAAAAAAATCTGCAAAAGACCCAGAAAGTACATCACTTTCCAAATTCACCGGCCCTTGCACGACGGCCGTTTTAGCTTTCAAATCCCATCCTATGCAATAAGGAAAGGAAGGACAGTAAGCATGAAATTTTCATAAGTGAAACTTGCTGAACCAGAATATGCAGGATCCCTCTCTTTGAATTTATCAGTCAGTCCCTGAAAAACAGATGATCAAACATGAGTCAATAACTCATTTCATTATATAGAGAACTACATTTATTATTTAGCTAGAGCTTAACAAAAGCCAAGATAGAGTAAGGATTCTTGATACAGTTAAGAACTCCATGAATCTTTAGTTAAAAGCTCACCTTGACAGTCAGACAGCATCTGCATTCCACGAAAAGGAACAAAGAAAACACCAAATTAGAGATGCTCAACAGAAGTTAAAAAGATAGCTAATATTCTCAAACCAAACCAACAAAAAAGAAATCATTTATCAAAGAGAAACAAAAGGAGATTGAACACAAGACCAAGGAAAACATACTCGATGAAATTGTCGTATTCGATGGCCTTGTTCTTCCCTCCAGTTTTATCAAACTTGGATACTAGTAAATCCAAAACAACTGGTGAGACTGCAAATCCTAAACTCATAAGTGCCTCTCTCAGCTCATTATAATCGATTTTGCCGCTCCTGTCCCTATCAAATCTCTCAAAGTTCGCCTGTAAATCAAAAACAACCAAAACCCACAAAAACAATAAACATTTCTAATCCAGAAAATTAAAATTGATAAAAAAAGCTCTCCAGTTCAAAGTCTCCAGGAGCTTACTCTCCAGTTCTGCAAACTGTAGAACAGTGGAGCGAATTCCTTTGGCCCTGCATTAACATTTCAAAAAATAATAATAATCAATGTGGGTCCTTCACAGATCGACAAAGCTTTCAAGATTACGAATGTACCCTTGCAAATTGCTCTACAACATCAAGATATTAAAGGACATTATAGGACTTTCAAAAAATAAAATCCGCGTAAAATACGTGGACAAGTCAAAACTTATCCCCTTGGATCAAGTGAAAACAGCAAAAGGACGATCGAGTGTCAGAAAATGACGAAAGTGACCCCTCTGATCAAGATCTGACTGAGCAATCACCATGTAATTACCGGCAGTTTCGTCCATTCAATGCAAACAAAAAAACACTAGCGTACATTATTAAAAAAAAAAAAAAAACAATTGTGGCATTCCCCCCTGACATGCGCATATAATAGCAAAAATATCATAGGCTGAAACTAGTACAATTTGAAGCATTTCACTAACATGCGCATGAATGAAAAATCATGCAAATCAAGCCCTCACCGATCTTCCTGGTGTTGGTGTTCGTGAAGAGATACATGAGAAGGTGAACAGTCCTCAAGCTGAAGCTCTGATTGTAGCTCGATAAGGCTCTCTGCAGCTCTTTGTCATCAACGAGCCCGCTACCGTCCTGATCGGCGAGTTGAAAGCAGGCGACGATGGTGGGGTCAGTCCCTGGAGGGAAGGTGGAGGGCATCAGAGAGGCGAAGGGGCTGCTGCCGTAAGGCGCAGGAGGATAGCCACCAGGAGCGGAGGCTTGGGGTTTGTCCTTCGGTGGCTTGGTGCCGGGAGCGGGAGCACCGTATGGAGCGGCAGGTTGTGCGGCTCCATATGCAGCAGCGGGTTGTGGTGCGGCGCCGTATGGAGCTGAAGGTTGTGGTGGTGCGCCATAAGGGGAGGAGTATGGTGCAGCGGAGCCGTAGGGTTGGGGTTGTTGTGGTTGGCCGTAACCGTAGCCGGCTTGTGGATGAGGGTAGCCTGACATTTCGAGGGAGAAACGGAGAAATTATTTATTTATTTATTATTATTATTATTTGGGTGAGAGGTCAGCGAGAGAGGGAGGAGTTTAGTGGAGTGGGAGTGGGTCTTGGGCCTCTGGGTTTATATAGAATTGGAAATGTAAATTATTTAGAATATTTTTCGTTTTTGTTTTTTAAATTTACTAATAATTCGATCGTGCTTTGTATTTTACCTTTTTTAAAGATATAAAAATTCATTATATTT